TGTGCGCGTAAACATGCTGGTGATTTTGCGCTCAGACGTATCGGTGCGGACAAGGTCATTCGAGTTTCGCCGCACGCGCTTACCGCTCGCCAGCACCGTGTCTACTGGTCCTTCGCCATCTTTTGCTGGATACTTGACAACCCGTGCGGCGCCGGGAATCAGGGTTTGAGTTTTGAACGTGCGGCTCGTGTCAACTGCTGTCAAGGCTTCGGTGATTTTGTTGCAAATGTCATGAAGAATCTCATCTTCGTTGAGAAAATGTACTTCCTTCTTGGTGGGATGTACATTTACGTCGACTCTTGCCGGGTCAATGTCGAGACTCAGGTACACAAAAGGGTGTCCGCCCTTGGGCAAGAATGCCGAGTATACCTGCTCGATAGCCATTTTTATATTCGTCGACTCTACAGCACGGTGGTTGATGAACAGCACCAGAGCCGTCTTCTTGATGTGGTAATTGGCATTGGTCACGAGCGCACTCGCTTTGTAACCCCAGCGTTCATCCGAAGCAGAGACCTCCACCAGCTCATTTGCAACGCCACCGCCATAGATTTGGCGAACTCGATCAATCGCGGACGCGGCCGCCGGGATCGACAAACTTGCAGATGATTCGCCAGCCTTTTTGCAAGTAAAAGCGACGCCGGTGGAGTGAATGGCATATCGCCCAACCATGTCTAGAATCTTGTTGAATTCATCCGCATATGACCGAAATGCTTTTCGTCTGGTAGGTATACTGAAGAACAAGTCTTCGACCGCAATCTGGGTTCCCGGGCGACCGGCGACGCCTTTCGGCTCCGCTGGCTGACCGGGCTTGCTGGGCACAAGCTTGCCGTCCAAATAGTGCGCACGCCAGGCCAGAGCCGAATCCTTTGTTTTGGTAGTGACTGTCAGATGCGCAATATGGCTTATACTGGCAAGAGCCTCGCCGCGAAAGCCATATGTGGAAATGGCGGCGAGATCCTCGAAAGCGGCAATCTTGGACGTGGTGTGCCGCTCACAAAGAATGGCAAGATCATCCTTTTGGATTCCGGATCCATTATCCGTGATTTGGAGTAGTTTCAACCCACCGTCCTTTACGAGAACTTCCAGTGCAGTACTGCCAGCATCGATGGCATTTTCCAGAAGCTCCTTGAGCGCGTGGACGGGTGCAACAATGATTTCGCCAGCGGCGATTTTGTTCACCACATCAATATCAAGCGCCTTTTACTGTAATCAGCACTTTATACAGCTAGGGCCTGGTCTGACTGTCTGAATGGGCTTACTTACGCGAATACGACGTGGCGGCGGCGCTGGCTCATCGTTGTCCGCATCGGCCTTGCGTTTGGTACCGGTCACGGCATCAACATCCATCATATCAGCTGACCATGAATCAACACTGCAGGCTCTTTTGCGCCTGGCGTTATTTTGAGAGGTTTGAAACCAGCATTGGGAGTGAGTCACATGAGTCAGCGTGAATAAGGAGGCTTCGTGGTAGACGTAAAGTTTGGAGGCGATTGCATCTCGACCCGCACCGCGAATACCTCACGACTTCACGTGACGGGGAGCTGTGTTA